TTTTTTTTAAAAAACTGGGAGCTGGGGTGGGTGGGGCAGTCATGGGGTGGGGGCTGGGAGAGTGGGCAGGGGTCAGGGGAGTCTCAGGGGGGCTGGGGGAGCAGTCAGGGGATGAGGCCTGGCAGGGGTCCCCCCATGGTCCCCTTCCCCCTTCTCCAGCCTCCTCTGTCCTACCCCCTACTTACCAGCACGGAATCAGGGTCCAGCTCCCTGTTGCAGCCAGCAGGGACTGCCCAAATTGCTGAAGCTCTCTAAATCTTCTGAACTGATTCAGAGAGCTTCAAACTGATTTGGACCTTTTAATTGGTCCCTTGATGCAATTCGGATTCAGAGATTCAGCCACCGAATCAGGCCGAATCTCCTCCAAATTGAATCAGCACCTGAAGCTTCACACAGTCCTAGTGTGTGGTACTGTGGTCATACCCCCCCTTTGACTGAGTACTGTAATGCATGTGCCGTGAGCTCTCTGCCACCAAGAGCTCTCATCTTGTCTACCAGTATCTGCTGCCAGTTGCAACTCCCATACCAACTAGCTCTCTAGTTCCCCCCTTCAAAATACTAAATCTATTTTTTTGATTTACCTTGCATGCCTTTCTTTTCCCTTCTCTCTCAGTGAAGACAGCCATCAGCAATGTTTCTGTATTTAACCAAACCTGTGTCAGGTGGGAAAGGAGCCCTAGAGAAGGTGGTCTGAAGGTGGTATATCTGGTAAGGAAGACAGAGTGTTTGTTTCTCTCTCTTGGAGGAATGTCCCTGGGCACATTGGTTCTTGGGATTATCTGAGCCCCGCATGCTGCATAGCTTCCTGCTGAACTCCTGTTATCAAATCCCCAATCTTCATTATTTTGATCTTCTAAAAAATATCCTTTTGGGCTTGTTTGTGTACACTGGTGCAAGGAAATCAAGTGATCAAAAATACCACAGGCAAAGCATGAGTGACTGCAGGTCCAGAGTTAAAAGAAACAGTGGTAAAAAATGATCTACACAACATGCTACTGCCATTTAAACTGCACAGTTAAAAAATGACCTGCACAATGCATAGTAATCATGGGATTGTAGTTATGGAAATCATTATCACGAATCATTATCTGGTTACCAAATGTTACCAAAATGTTTTCAGCAGCAGGACTGCTGATAAAGAAGCCCAGTTAAACAATATGCTGCTTATTCTTTCTGGAAGGTTAAATTCTGCTTCTGTTAATGGTAGTAGTATGCACAGTAATAGTTAAATATAGTTTAAGTAGGAACACTTCTCAGTAATGAGTTTCCTTCTTCAAGTGGACGAGAGGAATAATTAGTCCTTTATTTACATGAATCCAAGATGACTTTGACTTTAAGACAAATCTTCAATAATTAGATTGTTTACATGGAAAAATGATAAATTTGTTATCATTTTCCAGGTATAGAATCTAATTATTGGAGGATCATCCTAAATTCACACCCCCACCATTGCAGCAAGGCAAGCAGCAGCAAAAAGGTGGGTGGTAGGAGGACAGGTGGTGGGGAAGGGCAGGGGGAAGGGAATCAAGTGGCTTGACCCCTGTCCCTTGCCCCCTTCCATCTATCTCCCACTATCACTTGTCCCTGCTTCTGCCTGTCCTCCCCCAAGGCCTGCATGCCCCAGTGCCTGCACCCCCCTGGCATCTACCCCCCAACCAGCTGGAGCTGAGTGCAGAATACAGGGTAAGTGGTGATGGGGGAAGGGGTCTGAGGAGGAGGCAGCAGGAGGATAGAGGTGGTGGTTCTGTGGGGGATGCAGTGGGGGAGCAGAGTCTATAGGAGGCACTTGGCAAGGGGGCCAGTGGCTGCATCTTGAGGCTCTGACTCCAAGCTCAAGTTTGGGTCAAGCCTGGAGATGGAGATGCAGCAGCCACCTGCCTCCCTGCTTGTACTTGAGTCCAAGACAAAGAGCTTGTTGAATGGGGGCGGACCTCATCTTGGATTTGAGCATACATGGCAGTAGGGGCAAACCAAGGCAGAAAGAAAGTGCCAGATCCAAGAGAATGAAGTAGGTACTGTGGAAGCATTTAACTTGTTTTGGCATAAATTAGAAGGAGCAAATCAATTAAGAAGTCTCTACATAACTTGGAACTGATCCCAGTATGAGGAGTTATTGTGAGTGCAGTAGCACATTGGTCCCCTAGATATTTGGTAGTGTGGTATGTGTACCACACATTAAATATAAGCATCCTCAAAGCATGGATGACCAGACTTTTAAAAGGTCTTAATGTCTAATTCCTACTGATTTTGAATTAGAATGGAATGGAAGTCATGTGCCTAAATACCCATAAAAAATTCTCAGAATCTTATGAATAAAAAAAATTCCTTTTATTAGAACTGGCAAGAATAGAGGGAAATTACCTGAAGTATGATGTCAGGGTCCACTGCTGATAAAAGAAATGTAACTGGAAATTCATGAATGGAGTAAAGGACAGAATTTAACATTGCACAGTAGACAGTAAAGGGAAGGAGAAGATAAAGGGAGAGAAAACCTCTGGTAATTGCATGCAACTTCCTGAGAACGCATGTGCTTAGAGCAGGGGTAGGCAACATTTTTTGGCCAGAGTGCCAAAAAACCCGCAATGCCTACCTTGGAAGGTGCCAGAGTGCTGGCATGCCAGAAAAACAAAACAAGGGCAGGGGGTACATGGCAGGAAGCCCTGCTTGTGCCTCTTCCCCCTCACCTGAAGCCCCTGTCCCCCAGCCCTGCTGCCCCTTGCTCCCACCCAAAGCCCCTGCCTCCCAGCCCTGCTCATGCCCCTTGCCCCCCATCCAAAGCCCCTGCCCCCCAGCCCAGACTCCATGGCTCTCAGCAGCTACCCAGAACCTGGGCCAGCTGCAAAAACCTGCTGCCTCCTCACCCTGACTCTGGCCCCAGCTGCCTCCCAGCCCCAGCTCTGGCCCCGGGCTCTGGGGAGGCAGCAGATGATGACAATGCTTCCTTCTGCAGAGCAGCATTGGAACCCAGTGCAGCAGGGTGCAGCAGTGGGTGCAGAAAGCTGCCTGGTGCTCCAAGCTCCCACTGCCCTGGCCACACGTCCCCTGCAGGCGGGGGCAGCAGCAAGGGGCAGTACCCTGCGTTCTGCCCACGCTGCTCTCTTGCACACAGGATAAGTGTGACCTGGCAGCACGGAGCTTGCAGCACTAGGCAGCTTCCGTGTGCGGGCCCTCTGTGTGCTGCCGCTCCGGGTCGCATATGCTGAGCTCCTGGCCCTGCTGGCCTCCCCTGGACCCTCCGGAGCACAGCGTGTGCAACCCAGAGCCTCAGCACAGAGGGGCCACACAGGGAATCTGCCTGCTGCTGCAAGCTCCATATTGCCGGGTCACACTTCCCCTGTGTACATGGGAGCAGCGTAGGCAGAAAGCAGGGTTGTGCCTCTTGCTGCTGCCTCTATCTGCAGGGGAAGTGTGGCAGGGGCAGTGGGGAGCTCGGAGTGGCAGGCAGCTTTCTGTGCCCCCTGCTGTGCCCTGCCATACCAGGTTCCAACGCTGCTCTGCAGAAGCGGCGGTGAGGGCAGCACAGCAGGGAGTATTGCTGACACCTGCTGCCTGCCCGGGGCTGGGGCCGGGGAGGCAGCAGCTGTTTGCAGCCAGCACAGGTTCTGGGTAGCTGCTGATAGCCAAGGAGTCTGGGCTACTTGCAACAGGGCTTCCATCATCTGAGCTGGCTGCTGGGAGCAGCCCGGGCTCTGTGGCTATCAGAAGCTACCCAGAACCCGGACCGGCTGCAGCCAGGAAGCTACAAACAGCTGCTGCCTCCCCATCCCAGCCCCAACGCATAACGAGGAAAATGGCCTCGTGTGCCATGCTTGGCACGTATGCTGGGGGTTGCCG